AGAGAGAGAATTTTTAATATTTATTTTTTTTAGTTCTCGGCGGACACAACATCTTTGTTGGTATGTGGTGCTGAGGATCGAACCCGGGCCGCACGCACTCCAGGCGAGCGCGCTACCAGTTGAGCCACATCCCCAGCCCCTTTATTTTTTATTTTGAGGCAAGGTCTTCTTAAGATGCTCAGGGCCTCACTAAATTGCTGAGGTTGGCCTTGAACTTGCTCTCCTGTTTCAGCCTTTTGAGTCACTGGGATTATAGGCATGTGCCACCGGGCCTGGTTTGCTTACTGATTTTAATACCAAATTTTAATTTTTTTCTCCATCAGAAATTTCATCAGGGAGTTGCAAAATAATGGCAGTCCCAGCATTCCTTCCAAATTCATTAGATTATATTCTTCTACTATAAAGTAGGACTTAACTGGAATCATTTAGCAATTGTTATTTTCATTTGAGTCTGGATTGTTTGTTTTTTGTTTTGTTATTCAGTTTCCAGAGTTCTCCATATAGTATTTTAAAAAAATTTTCCTAATCAGTTATACATGACAGTAGAATGCATTTTGTCATATTGTACACAAATGGAGCACAACTTCTCATTCCTCTGGCTGTACATGGTGCAGCGCCACTCCAATACTCCATATATAGAAATATTTTGCAAGTATATTCTCTATTTTGTGAGTTTTCTTTTAATTCTGTTAGTAATGTTCTTTGCACAAAACAGTTTTTAAATTTAATTGTATGTGTTTGTTTCATCTTTTAAAAAAATTTATCTTTTTAGTTGAAGATGGACACAATACCTTTATTATATTTACTTATTTATTTTTTATGTCCCTCACATGTGCTAGGCAATCACTCTACCACTGAGCCACAAACCCCATCCATCAATTTTTCTTTTTGATTCACAAAATTTTTTAATTCTCATGGAGCTACTTTGTCAGTTTTTATTCTGTTGCCTGTGTCTTTATCATATCTAAGAAATCACTGAGCAATCTGATGTCATGAAGCTTTATCCCATTTTCTTTTAAGAGGTTTTTTTTTTAGTTTGTAGTTGGACACAATACCTTTATTTTATTTATTTATTTTTATGTAGTGCTGAGGATCCAACCCAGCACCTGGAGCTGAGCCACAGGGACAGCCCCTCCCCAGCCCCGGGGTCGGAGCAGGGTGGTGGTGGTCCTCCTAAGCCCACGCTTCTTCTAAGAGTTTTGTAGTTTTAATCTCTTGCCTTTAGGTCTTGCTCCATTTTGAGTTGTTGTATGTGCATGTGTACATGGTTTTTTTTTTTTTTTTTTTTTTTAAGTGTTTGGTAAAATTCACCAGTAAAACCATCAAGTCAAGGGCTTTTCTTTGTCTTGGAGGCTTCTGATTAGTGACTTAATCTTGTTATTAGATTTTATGGATTTTCAATTTATTTGATTTAGTCTTGATAGTTTTGTGTTTCTAGCAATTTGTATATTTCATCCTGATTATCCAGTTTGTTGGTGTAGCATTGTTCGTGGTACTCTATGATAACCCTTTTTATTGTGTAGGATGGATAATGCCTCCTTTTTTCATATCTTAACTTGTAATTTAAATCTTCTGTTTTTCCTTAGTCTAGCTAAAGGTTTGGCAAGTTTGTTAATCTTTCCTAAGAACCAACTTATCTATTCACATTTACAGCTGTTCTTTCCCCCTCATCACTGCTTTGGCTGTATTCTCTAAGTTTGGGTATGTTCTGTTTTTGTCTTCATTGATGTTATGGTTTAGATATTAGGTGTCCTCAAAAGCTCACGGGTGAGACAATGCAAGAACATTCAGAGATGAAATGATTGGGTTATGAAAGCTTTAAACTGAGTGAATTAATCCTCTGATGGGATTAGCTGTGTGATGGCTGAAGGTAGGTCCAGTGTAGCTGGAGGGGGTAGGCACCGGGCTTGTGCTTTGGAGGTATATATATTTTGTATCTGGCAAATGGAGACCTCTCTCTACTTTCTGATCATGTGAGCTACTTCTCTCTGCCATAATGTTCTGTCTCACCTCCTGCCCCAAGAAATGGAGCTGGCTGCCTATGGACTGAGACCTCAAACTGTGAGGCTCTAAATAAAACTTTCCTCCTCTAAAATTGTTCTTGTTAGGTTTTGTAGTTACAGAATCAAAAAACTGACTAAAACAATTGGACTCTTAAGTATTTTCCAATTTTCCTTGTGATTTCTTATTTGACACACTGGATTTTTTTTTTTTTTTTTTGTACTGGGAATTCAACCCAGGGCCTCATACATGCTAGGCATACACTGTACCACTGAGCTACATTCTGACCCCTTTATTAAAGTTTTATTTTGAGATAATCTATATTGCTTAGGCTGGTCTCCATTTTATAATCTTCCTGCTGCAGCCTCTGGGAGCTGGGATTACATGCACTACCTTTTGGTTCTGGAGATTGAACCCAGGGGTGCTTAATTACCAAGCAACATCCACAGTTCTTTTTATTTTTATTTTTTGACACACAGTCTCACTAAATTGCCCATGCTGGCCTCAAATTTGCAATTCTCCAGCCTCAGCCTCCCCAGTTGCTGAAATTAATAGCTGTGTACCATCACAACCAGCTTTGCCTCATATATTTTGATGGTCTATTATTAGGTACCTAAATGTTTACGATTGTTTTATCTTGCTGAATTGGGCCCTTTACTAATATATGTCTTTTGTCTCTTGTAATTTTTTTCTTTAATTTAAAGTTGGTTAGTATAGCCTCCTCTAGTTTATACTGTTTGCTATTGCATGGAGTATCTTCTCTTTTGCTTTCAACTTATTTGTGTCTTTGGCCTTTGTATCTAAATTGAGTTTTTTCTTTTTTGTGGTGCTAGGGATTGAACCTTGGGCCTCACACATGCTAACCAAGCACTCTACCACAGATCTTCATCCCAGTCCTAAATTGAGTATCTTATAAACACAAATATATCATGTTTTTAAAAATCCTTTTGGCCAATTTGTCTTTTGAGAGTATAATCCATTTACATTTAGATTGAGAGTATAATCACATTTAAAATATTTACTGACAAGGAGAAATTTAATTCTTTGATTTTTACCCCTCATCTTCACCATTATGTCTTATTTATTTATTTTTTTCTGAAGTGAAACTTATAAGGTTTCCTCATTTTCTTTTGTATCTCTGTAACTATTTATTGTTCCCATAAGGATTACACTTGATATTCTAAAGTTATAACACTAATTTGAATTTACACCAGCTTAACTTCAATAGCTTAACATAGTTTTTATAGCATTACATTTTTATGCATTGAATGCTCAGAAATACAGGTTCATAATTTTTATGCATTAATATCTTAAATTATGTAGAAAATGAAAAATGGAGTTAAAATCAAAGTTATAATAATCGTACTTTTTAAAATTGTCCGTGTATTTAGGCTTCACAGAGATCTTTATGATAAATTTCTCTACATGGCTTCAAACTATTGTCCTCCTGTATCCTTTCATTTTTACTTGAAAGACTGTCATTAGCATTTCTTTCTTTTTTTTTTTTTTTTTGTTACAGAAGTTATTGCTCAGGGGCATTCAGCCACTAAGCTACATCCTTATCCCTATTTTGTATTTTATTTAAAGACGGTCTCACTGAGTTGCTTAGTACCTCACCATTTCTGAGGATGGCTTTGAACTTGTGATCCTCCTGCCTCAGCCTCCAAAGCCGCTAGGATTATAGCGTGCTCCACAGCGCCTGGCTGCCATTCATTTCTTGCAGGGCAGGTCAAGTTGGAATGATCTGTCAGTTTTTGTTTCTCTGGGAATATCTTAGTATCCATTTTCAGGAGGAGGGGGACTTGGGATTGAACTCAAGGACACTTGACCACTGAGCCTCATCCCCAGCCCTAATTTGTATTTTATTTATTTAGAGACAGGGTCTCACTGAGTTACTTAGTGTTTTGCCTTTGCTGAGGCCGGCTTTGAACTCGTGATCCTCCAGCCTCAGCCTCCTGAGTCACTGGGATTACAGATATGCACCACTGTGCCGGGCTTAATATCCATTTTTGAAAGAGGCAGATTTGCCAGATATCAGATTCTAGATTGGTAGTTTTTCCCTTTAGCACTTTTAATACATCCAACCCCTGCCTTTTGGTGTACATGGTTTCTAATAAGGCATCTGGTGATGTTTTGAGACAGGACTCTCTAAGTCAGTAGATGGCCTCCAGCTTGTGATCCTTCTACCCTCACCTCCATAGTCACTGGGACTAGGCATGTGCCATGGTGTCTGGACATAACTTCTCTTTGATGTCAGATCTGTTCATGCAGTCGCTACTCGGGATTCCCTTTTCTATAGATAAATATTTGCAAATGGTGAAGTCAGGATCCATCTGAAGCCTACATTCTTGATGTCTTTGAGGATTTCTGCACTTATTCTGCTGGTTTGAGATATTTTCACCTTCATACATATAATCTGGAATTTGAGTGTGTTTTCAGAGTTTTACTGCAGGTAGCTTAACATGGAACATCTTGTTTTCTTTTTGTTGCTTTGTATGAAATATAAAACAAACATGCCGACAGGAAGAGTGGCACAGCTTACACCTAGGCTCCGTCGTGCTCCTCCTGTCAACAAGACCTGCTTCGTAGCTCAAGCCAGAGAATAGTCTGGAAGCAGGATAATTCAGACCAAAGATGATGGAAGCTTGGATTAGAATGGGATCTTGAGATGGGAAGGAGGGACATGTGAAAGTGGAAGTTCATCTTTCTCTCTCTCTCTCTCTCTCTCTCTCTTTCTCTCTCTCTCCCCCTCCCTCCTAGGATAACGAGAGAGCAATGTCCATCTTGGATATGTCTCTGTCTTTCAGAAGTGGCGGAGTACACACCGCTTGGAACCACAGCCCACTAGACACTCAACACTGTCCTCAGGGCGCAGAGATGTTAGGGACCTTTTTGGTGTCTGCTGAGGCACCTGTGCAGAATATGGGTGAAGTGGGGCCCCAGTTCGATGTGTTACTACCTGAGTACTCTGTGAACTGTTGTCCCCAAGCGGCTCTTATCCCTTCCCAGATGACTTACTGTCAGGGAGTCTCTCCCTCCCAGCCAGGGATGATGATGTGCGAGGAGCCCCAGATGATGATGCCTTTGGGAGAGCCCGGTATTCCAGGAATGGCCAGGACCTTCAGTGAGAATCTGAAGATACCCTCCAACAGTCTGCCAGTCCCAGATTCAAGTGGCATCTCCGTGTCCCACACTAGTGCCCCAACAATGCCTTATTCTGATCCCCGATTACTACCTTCTCTCAGACCCTCTTTAACTCCTAAAATGTTATGGGCCCCAAACAACATGCCCTCCACTGAGACCCAGCCTGTGCTCCCCTCCATGGTTCAGATGTTGCCGCCTAGAGATCCCTATGACCTTGTGATGCCCTCAGATAGGTCCCAGTCTCTGCCGACCTTAGACCCCCTTGATGCTCTTGTGGACAAGTCAGACTGCCAGGAAGACCTCTTCCTACCTGAGCCACCCATCCAGGCTCCAAGGAGAGCAGACAACTCCAGTGGCCAGAAAGCAGCACCCAGGAGGAAATCTCCCCTTTCAAGGCCTTATCGCTGTCAGTATAGGAACTGCGGAAAAGCCTACACCAAGCGCTCTCACCTTGTGAGTCACCAGCTCAAACACACAGGTGAATGAGGTATCCGATGGGGAGGGAGATAGAAGAGTCTGGGCTTTTTTTTGGTCTGTGCTGGAGCACAGATTTGTAATTTCTTAGGATGAACCCTTCATCTTTCAAGCTTGGACCCAAGCTACACTGACCCCACCAACTTGCCATCCAGAATGACTGCCAGGATGACTGGAGTGGCCCTGATCATTGTTGTCCCTCACTGGTTTCCTGGGTCTTTCTTTTTGACTCCCCGATCTCGACTGCTCTTGTTCATAGTTATATCTCTTCCATCCCACCTTTTGACTCCATCTACTAAATTGCATCTCTCCCTTGTCACTCCCCAGGTGAGAAGCCTTATAGATGCACCTGGGAAGGCTGCCCGTGGGCTTTTTTTCGTTCTGATGAGCTTGGACGACATATGCGGATACACACCAGGTATCGACCATATGAATGTGATCAGTGTGGCCGACAGTTCATGAGATCTGACCATCTCCGGCAACACCAGAAGACTCATCAGCGCCTGCCAGGGCAGGTCAGCAATGGACAGACAGGTGGTCCTTTTGCTCCTGGTCTTTAGGTCTATCTCTTCCTCAGTTTTGTTTCTCTACCCAGTTGCTGCCTGCCTCCAACCAACTCATCTCTTGGTAGGAGCAGTTTAGATGAAGACGGAAGTTTAAGAGGCAACATCAAAGCCCAGATGAAGCTCTGGACTCCATCAGAGTTTCCTCAAATCCCTCAAAGCCTGTCTTGAATGGCCTCGCCTCGCTGGGGACACCTACTGTTGAAGTTTTGCCAGACAGGAAGATGAGCACAATGGAGATTGAGAGCTTTATTTAAAAGCTCTTTATCAAGTCGCTCCCTGGCCTGAAACCTTTTAGTGACTCTCCTTTGCTGCTACATAAAATCCATGGTTTGGTCTTCCACAGTTTCCAGAGCCAGACTATGTTCAAATCTTGAACTTTCCACTCACTAGCCATGTGACCTTGGGAAAAATCTGTGATCACTATACCTTATTTCCCCTTCTGGAAAATGGGAAAGACGTACTGGCCTGTATTGGACATGTCATATGTATGGCATCAGATTCTTTGCTTTTTTTTTTTTTTTTTTTTTGGTGGTTTGTTTTGTTTTGGGTACCAGGGCTTGAACCCAGGGTCGTTCAAACTGAGAGCTACATTCCCAGACCTTTTTATTCATTTTTAAAAATTGTGAAACAGGGTCTCACTGAGTTGCTTAGGGCCTTGCTAAATTGCTGAGGCTGGCATTGAACTCTCAAGCCGCTGGGATTACAGGCATGTGCCACCACACCCAGCTGCATCGGATTCTCTTTGTCGCTCACCATCCACATGCTTAGAGTTTGTCTCTTCCAGACTCGTGGAGTGTCCCACCATAGGGCATGGGGTCTGGCATCCCATGTAGCCACAGCAACCTTGAAGTGTAGGGCAATTCATGCTCTAAGGGGAAGATTTGACTAATGGGAAATGGGAAGTAGGAGAAAGCCATGCGGATGAATTCTGCCTTCTCTCCCTTCCATGAATTGTTATAAGGCATTATTTCCCCATACAGCCAAGTCTCTGGGGAGATTCCCAAGTAGGCAGGGCATATGCATGCTGGGCCTCTTCAAGGCTAGTCATGAAGCAGTGTCCAGCTTGGAAACAATCACTGCATTACCTACCGTTCACCCCTGCCTTGCTTCCATTTTCTCACCACTAATGCCTTGGGTTTGTACCTCCAAAATAAAACATCAGTATTTACTTCTTGGTTTAGGCTCTGTTTTCTAGGTGAGTTGGGTGGAAGAAGAGGAGGACATTACCCTGGGGTAGAGAAGGACAAACCCCAGGCATGTTCACTTCTCCCCCACTTGGTACCTGGATCACCAAGTATTAAGTAGGGGCTTATCCTGTCCTGCTCTCCTGGAGTTGAGGGAAATGATTATCCTAGAAACAGTCCAGTAGTTTAGAATCTTATTTGTGGACTCAGCAGGCCATTTTACTAACCAGTAAACTAATAGTAAGAAAGGAACTTGATGAAGCTATCAAGTGGCAGAGCTGGGTCCCCAGCCAGAGGTGAATCTCTTCCCTAAGATGGTGCCTTCCATAGGTGTTGGCCTGAGTATAGCCAGCCACTGCCAAGTGATGGTGCAGAGGTGAATCAGATATAGTTCCTGACCTTCCTGATCTAGGGGGCACCTAGGTAACTGTGGCCATGAGGAAGAGAAGCCCCTAGCCCTCAGTCCTTGCAGCCAGCGATTGGGTGCTAACATTGCTTATCCCTGTTACCCTCGGTCACCTGGCTGAGGTAGTGCTTGTCAGGTTTCTTTACTGTAAAATTACTCAATTTCCTCACATTGTACCCTTTATAAGTCTGCCTTTTGTTAAATATGCACATTCTGAATTTGGGTAAAGAGCATCTAGAGGCCCACCCCAGGTATTTTAGTGCCATCAGTGGTTCAGTGAAAGGCAGCCATACAGGATAGGGTCGCTACAGGGGTGGGAGGGCAGGGGGCCAGCACAGCCAAGTCTGCAGGACTTCTGTGTACCAGAACGCTTGAACCTACAGAGGTCCTGATTCTCTCCTTGACACCACTAAATACTTTTAGAAGTTTCGACCATGATCTTTCTGTTCCACTATAGAGACAGCATGCCTCTGTACCTCTGAACCCTTAGAGCTCAGCACAGAGCATGACCAAGGGTTTGTGTCTAGTTAATGGGAGGCAAGGCTAACCATCTTGAAAGCTTTGGGTCTGAATTATGAACCTGAGAAGTCTTCCCTGATACATCCTTTAGTTGTGTGCATGTTCCTCACCCATGGGTCTGCAAAGCCTGGTGCTCTCTGTATTGGGAGTAACTGCCAGAATATCTCTTCCAGGGATATTCTTCCCTCTTTATTCACCAGCTTGGTTTATTGACACAAGGGTGTTCTAATATTACACTCTTACTTGGGTTCAAGGGTCACCTCCCTCCAGAAAGCCTTTCTGACTACCCCCTTGTTTAAACACAACTTTGGGGAGGGCCAGATTGCTTGTAGGGATGCAGGAGGGAAGGCCTGGTTGGTGACCCATCACTTGCTGAGGAATGGATGTGGGAAGAAACCAGAGTGGACAGTGGTGCCCCAAATGAGCTCCTGCCCCTGTAGAGGTCATGACCTAGTAGAGGAGGAGTGTTATTAGAATGTCTTATGTTATGAGAAGAAGAATGGATGAGCTTATTTTCTATTGTGGTGTCTATCGTACGTGAAAAAATATTTCATATGTGTGCAATTTAAAGGATGATGAGTATTTAGCCTTTGGGAAAAAGGGTAAATGCTTGAGAAAAAGAGTTGACTAGTACATTTGAGATCTGTTAGTCCTTCATCCCTGCTATTATTTTTAATCATATATCCATACATAACTATATGTATATATGCTATATATATTCCTGAACAATAAAGTGATTGGTTTTGTAAGATTTTTACTTTGTTTATTCTCTCCATTGAATTTCTTTAATCTGATGGTTTATAGTCAGTAAGATTTAGAAAAAATTTTCCTATTTTTTTGGTCATGCTGGGGATGAACCCAGATGCCGTGTGCTGGGCAAGCACTCCACCACTGAGGGACACTCCTGGCCCTTTTGTTTGTTTGCTGTTTTTTTGAGAATGAGTCTCACTATTTTGCTCAGGATGGTCTCATTGAACTTGTGGGCTCAAGTGATCCTTTCATCTCAGCCTCCAGAGTAGCTGGGGCTGTAGGTACACTCCCCCAAGCCTTCCTCACCTTTTGACACAATCCACCCAAAGGGTAGACTGCTCCCTATTGTCCTATAGGTCACTGATGTTCATTCTATGTTCAGTCTTTTTTCTCTCTTTTTATTTCCTGCTGCAGTTTAGAGATCCTCAATTTCATTGATCTTTCCTTCTGCAGCGTCTAATTGCTGCTAGTTTGAACCAGTATGTTTTCCATTTCAGGTGTTAAATTTTTCATCTCTAGACATTCCATTTGGATATTTTAAAAAATATCTTCTAGTTTTTTCTTAATACTCATGTTTCCCCTTTACTTTCTTGAATGTAGAAAGATATATACTAGCTGTTTTAATGTCCTCAGATGCTAGCTCTATTACATTTGACATTCTGGGGTTCCTATTGATTATTATTTTTTTTTACTGGTAATTGTTCTTATTTTCCTATTACTTTGAATAGCAATTTTTTTTTTTACTGGATACCATAAATTGTGAATTCACATTGTTGGTTGCCATATTTAATTCTAATTCTTTCAATTGTCTTATTTTGCTTTTTATTTTCTGGCATGAATTTTCTTTTTTGGATCTAGTTGAATCCCTTTCAAGCTTTTAAGTTTTTTAAAAGATAGGCCCAGGGGCTGGGGTTGTGGCTCAGCAGTATAGCATTTGCCTAGCATGTGTGAGACTCTGGGTTCGATCCTCAGCACCACATAAAAATAAATAAAATAAAGGTATTGTGTCCAACTACAACTAAAAAAAAATATTGAAAAAAAAAAAAAAAAGACAGGCCCAGAGCTACCTTTTTCTTTTCTACTACTGCCCTTCGACTAAGGCAATATCCCAAGTATTATGCCCAATGTTCTGTATATTATGTCTTTGCCTTTGGCAAGTGGAAACAAAACTATCCCAGTCCTGAATTGTTCGGCCTTGTTCTTTCTAGTGGTGGTTTTCCTAGTCTTTCTTTCCTAGTCCCTCTTCTTTTCTTCTTTTGGTATTGGGGATTGAACCCGAAGATGAATCAGAGAGCCTCACCCCTCTTACCTGGACCTCTTGGCTTTCAAAAATAAATTATGACTGCCAGGTGCATTGGTGCACACCTGTAAAACCAGCAACTCTGGAGGCTGAGGCAGGAAGATCACAAGTTTGAGGTCAGCCTCAGCAATTTAGCCAGGCCCTAGGTGACTTAATGAGACTCTGTCTCAAAAAAAAAAACAAAAAAAAAAAAACAATGGTCATGTGAAGTTCTGAAGGGGCTGAACGATAGGGACTGAGTAGAGCTACCAATGGATTGGAGGTGCTGATGAAGTCAGAGCACTGGTATATTAAGAACAAATGAGGGGGGCTGGGGATGTGGCTCAAGCGGTAGCCCGCTCGCCTGGCATGCGTGCGGCCAGGGTTCGATCCTCAGCACCACATACCAACAAAGATGTTGTGTCCGCCGAGAACTAAGAAAAAATAAATAAATTTTTAAAAATTCTCTCTCTCTCTCTCTGTCCCCCCCTCTCTCTCTCACTCTCTCTTTAAAAAAAAAAAAAGAACAAATGAGGGGTTGGAGCTGTGGCTCAGTGGCAGAGTGCTTACCTAGCACATGTGAGAGACTAGATTCGATCCTTAGCACCACATTCAAAAATAAGCAAATAAAGGCATTCTGTCCATCTACAATTATGAAATTTTTTTAAAAAAAAATTAAGAAAAGAAATGAGTGAGGCTGGTGAGAGGAGGAATGGTGAGAGGGTGCTTTTGTAAGTAGAATAGTTTCAAATGATGATAAAAATTCAGGATATGTCCATAGAATGAATTGGCTGTGCTGCCCTGGAGGTGAAGATTTTAGGAAATGTGGAGGAGCTCGGTATCATTTGGTTCATCCCTGGATGGTACCCAGAACCATGGCTAGAAGTTGGATAGAGAAATTACATGAGGCAGGTGGACAAATTCTTATGGCAATGAGTTCAGGTGACCGGGGAGGTGAGCAGAGAATGGTGACCAGGAGCAGAAGGGTGGAATATCTAATGCAATGGGATTTTGGTGAGGAGGAGGAGGATAATATGTAAGCAATGTCATGGTGAGAGATCCAGAAACAGGAGGGATGGAGAGAAAGAGAGGTCCTCACAAGGCAGCCATGTGGCAGGGTGGCATGGAGGAGGAGACCCCCTTAGAAGAAGTAGAGGGTGAAGGGGAGTTCCCAAATTATGAAGCAAGAGTTCCAGAGAATACAGGAGGGTAGTTAAGGAGAGAGCTTGGGATAAGAACAGGAAATAAGAACTCAAAAGGGAAATGTCTTTGCAAAGATGTTTGGGACATTGAGCCTCCACAGAATTCAATCTCTCATTCTGTTTATTCTCA